TATTTCATTCAAAGTTTGATCTCTTCTATAATGTATCTAAAATGAAACTATTCTACTTTTTTTTCGTCGAAACAATACTTCAATTAGTCACAATGCTTGAAGCATATTCACACTATTTAAACAATACTTTAAAAAAATAAAAAGTTGCTTATAATATATTTCAAACTCTACTTTTTTTTATCAATAGAAAACGAAAGCGGCTGTCAAAGATCAAAGATTGTTATCACACACTTGACTGATTTTTTTCAAAGAAGGAAAACTTTCGATTGATATATAACACTTGAAAAGAAAGAACAAAAAAAAAATCAATCAACTATTTGATTTGTTCATCATATATCATCAATAGCACAAAAAATAAAGAAGGTTTTCAACAAATCAATGATAATTATGCGATCAGTGTACCATATGGATAAATAAGTTTATGAATTGCCGACTTCAATAATTATTGCATTAGAGATAGTAGAGAGCGCAGCTGCAGAAACACTCAATCACAGCAATGAAAACATCTGTTTCAATAGTGATCTCTTTTTTATTACTAGGATAATATAGTTTTAAAGTTCAAGAAACTAGATTCAATCGATTGTTTATACTCTCTTCAAAATCATCGATCATCATTTTTTATTGCTCACGGGTAAAGGCGTACATGTTGATGCATATTACAAATTTATTCGGTATACGCGTGCATATATTTATCATTTAGGTAGCTATGAACAAAAAAAAAAATTGTCAACGCCCTTCTATATATACATACTGATCATCCATCCATCACAGAAGACAGGAAAATTTTTTTTTTTGTCATTAACATAGTTGATAGTCAGGCAATACAAATATGTGTGCGTGCTTATATCCTGTCTATTTAGACTATCAACAACAAAAAAAAAAAGGAATACGGTAAATACTCATTCAAATGGGTGTCACATTCTGATACTTTTCCGTTTCATATTACATGTTCTCATCAGTATATAGCATCTGCTCATTTTTAACTCAAGTTCTAACGGTCAGAAAAAAAGAAAATGACGATATAGCGCCTGTCGGCAAAACGATTGATGCATGTCATGTAAATTTGATTGCGTTAGAAGAAGAAGAAAATGAATTTTTCTTTCTTAATGAACTCTCTTTTTTTCTTCTATATATATATATATACACGTTCCATTTCCTAATGATGATGAATTCTTTTTTATTGAAGTGATGACCACACGCACGCACACAAATCAATATGAGTAGTCATAAATTCATTTTCGATTATTCTATGCTGTCATCAATGAATAGTGATTAGGGAAAATTTCTGTGTCTGCCTATCTCTAACAATTGATGACAATATGTGTCTGCAAATAATCTTGATGTGAACTGAGTCGAATATATGAAGGGTATATCATTCATTATCATTAATGTGCATATGTGTACAGGCGTATGCACACAGATGATTTTTTTTTGTTTTGCGGTGAAATTATCTGTTATATTGATAATCGAAAAGTATAGTTCACAAACAGCTGTTAACATTAGATTTAGATTTAAAACTAGACACGCCCCATTATTCATTTTTTTTTTATTATTAAGCATGACATTTGAACTCAATGAGTTTAGTGTTTGCATATATCAATATCTGTAGAAAAAATAGTCTTTCGTTATGTAATTTTTCAAGATGGAACCATGCAAAGAATATATTATAGAACTTCTTATCGATAATAATAATATAAGAATACTAAAGTTTACATTATATATTCGATTCATTGAATCGTTTTGTAATAATTTTTTCAACATCCATAAAACTTGTCGATTTGATTACACGTCAACATAAAACTTGAGTATAATCATTATTTATTCTTACTTTTTTCAATGGACAAGATATTGAAGTTATAAACGTATATATTTTAGATATAGAATGAACTCATAGGAGATTTATTATTTCAATTTTCAAGTAAAAAGAAAAAGAATTGACTTTTATTTCAATTAATTAAACTTTTGTAAAACTGATTTTTTTATCATGATTCAGAACACATACTTGTTGATTACATACTCGAGTCAAAATTTTTGAACATTCTTTTGAACTGTTTTTGAAGAGTGTTAATTGCTGCATGATGTGTGAATAATACATATATATATATATACTTAGTGAAATAAAAAGAATTCGATTTTCTTTCTTTTAATAAAATTGAATTTGATTGACATGATAAAAATAGATAAAAACTGAACTAACTATAAGAGAAGTTTTTAATGACTGTGTATAGTAGTTGTCATAAATCTTATCATTGAGAGCTTTTCTTGTTCTTTTTTTCTTAAAATCATTGATTTGATGTTTGTCAAGAAGTAATATATTGTTTGTTTGACAAGCAATGATTTTATTCTGATGTTGAACACAAGAGATATTTGATTAGTAGAAATATTTAGATGCATATGAAAAATTTTATTTCCTCTAATTGATATTATTAACTGTTGATAGAATATATTTAAAAACAAATCAATAACATTCAAATTATAACCTTGAAAATAAATAGAAATAAATATTCTAAAAGAATGAGACCTTTATCATTCATATCGAGAGACAATATGGAATACAAATAATGCAAATAAGAATAAATTATTTATAGAATATTCGGAAGTTTCAATGTAGTTATATAACTATTCTCTGAAAAATCAATAATAGAACAGTATATAGAAATCTAATTGTAAAGTAATAGAACTGTTCAGCGATCGACATTACCTATATCGTACGTGGTTTTTCTTTTGTCTTATGAAAAATAGAATGACTTAAAGTAAACATTCATACAATAAATACTCTATTAATGTCAAAAATAGATGTTCATTTTTTCTAAAGTAATAATGAACAAATCGTATTAAGATGTGTGTTAGTTATCTCTGTGTATAGTATTAGATGGCGAAACTATTTTTTTGGTATGCACGTTCTCGAAAAGATCAAATTTCAATGCAACAGACATACATACAGAGTGTTTCATAAGTGTTGACGCATGACAAAATTAGTTTATATGTATATAGAAAGAAAGTCATTCCTAGCCAAATATTTTTATATGAACCTTGAAATTAGTGACAGTCTTTCAAATGACATATTCTTGGATAATATCTTCTCTTGTAATAATAACATGAGAATGTGCGGATAAAATTTTCACAATCGATCAATGTGATTTTTTACTAAAATGATGAACAATTCTACATAAAAAAAAGCATTGTAGAAGTTAATAATTATTTATCTTATTTGATTATTCGGCACTTATTCCGAGCCACTGGTGACATGTTCAGCCAAACTATGCACTCAGTGACCGGATTGAAACGGTTAAAATATATGAAAACGTTGCGTGCAAAACGACATACACAAAATAATGATTATATTTGAACTATTGATGAATTACTTAGTAATTCAGTTTTACGTCAAGCAAATGGCACTAAATTTGCTGACGTATGGTTTACTGAAATTGTGTGAGAAAATAAGAACTTGTAATGATTGTTACAATTTTTATTAGATTTGACGAATTAATAGAAAGTAGTGAAAAACAAATACATGATAGTTAAATGAGATTTTTGTGGTTTCGGATTAATATAAGCGTTGCTCGTTTTTTTAGTAAAATATCTTGTTGATTGGTTGCAAAAAAATTATTCTCACATTCTCATGTTATTATTACAAGAGAAAATATTATCTAATAATATGTCATTTGAAAGATTAACACGAGTAGTTAAAGTTTATATAAAAAAATTTGGCTAGAAGCGTAGGTCATGAATAGTACTATAATAAAAATTGAAGTATCTCATCCTTGATTCGCTCAAATGGGCTGATTGTTTTTTGGTTAGTAGTAGAAATTTATTTAAAGTTTTTCTTTTATACGAATAACGTTAACAAATGCTACTATCAAGTTTTATTTTTGGTCTTAGTAAAGAAATTTCACCTCTTGTCAAGTAAGAAAAATACATATGACGTGTGTCATAGAGAGTTTTCAGTTATCATCTAAGAGAATATTAAGAAGAATTCAAGATAAACTAAGTATATTGGTGTACTCAGCACAAGTTTTCAAGACTAGTAGTCTGTTTAATTGCTAAAATTTGTGTCTAATAATTTGAACGTACTATTGCAACCCTGTAGACACGAACTTTCTTGCAAAAACCAGTGTTACATGTTTGAAAATTCGAAATTTTGAAATCGTTGACATTTAACTAGCTGATTCAAAAAATTCTCTCTATATGCATCAATATAGTATCATAAATAAAGTTTTTTTTTAATTTCTTCTCAATTTTCTCTTAAATGAGAACTAAAAAAATGATCTATGGGAAATGCTATACTTGTATTTGTTACTTGATAACAGCTAAAATGATTTTCGTAATATTAAAAATAATAATACATAATAGTATTATTTGTTTACCTTATCTGTAGGAAAGAAAAAGAAAATTTTAAACAAACTTTTACTACTAATAAGAAACATTAGCTCACTTGATTGAACCGATACGAAGAGATTTCATTTCTCTTTATCGTAGTGTTGTTTATGGCCCGCAATATACATGTCAGCGTCCAATCTAAGATTCGTCATAACCATTCGAACATTCAAGTTTGAACTACTCTCAATTTGGATTGTGCAATACGACAAAGGCAAAATAACGATCTTGAACTTAAAATCGATGCTAAATTTTGAGTTTTATTTTGATGAATTATGACGTATGGATCATACTTCTTTTTGTAGCGAAAATTTTGTTTTGATTCTCCAGCTTTTTGCTGGATTCAAGTGTGAACCAGTTTCAAGTCGGGTTTGACAATCACTTGAATCTTAGATTGAACGCTGACTGTCATCTATATATTTGAATTCTCGTTTTTAATTATTGTCTATCTTCTGGTTTTTTTGCATGCAAAAAAAAAATGAAATAATTCATATCATAGATGTTCACTTTATTTTATTCAAATCATATGGTTATTACAAATATGCAAAAAGAAGCCTAGGAGCATTAATGTTGCTATATTTACAATAAAAATATAAATATAAATTGACAACAACTTTTGTTATTCACTTGTATTCTTTATAAAATTTACTTGAAAACTGATCTTGAACATTAGATAGATTTTTGCTTAACACTTTGAAAAATCCTACATCGTTGTTATTTGTTTGTTTAATTTCATTTTCAAGAATGGTTTCAAGTGATGTCTTAATTGATGTTAATGAAAGAAGAAATTCTGATAACAAATAATATATTTCACCACGATCCAATTCATTTTCGGACATTAATAATTTTTCTGAACCATGTCTACAGAAGTCTAATGCATAACTATTTAAATAATAAGCTGAATTTGTATGATCACGAGTATCAATATCAACAAATGGTACAATACGTGTTGATAAATCAATATTATAAGCAAGATCCCATGAACCTATAGTTGGGTTATAATTAGACATGAATTGTTCATGTGTAAGACCAGATGGACCAGCAAATGGTGATATTGATGGATTTTTTGATTGTTGAGAATAATGATGATGAAGATCATATTCAAATGTTCCATTATCATAGTCTGATGATTGATTAAATGAAATGTTTGAAAAAGGTAATATATATTCTTGATTATCATTAAATGAACGCATTTTTCTTAGAACATTTTCTATATAAAATCCATAGATTTCTTTGACTAATGAATTATATGATTGAATACGTTGCCGAATTTCAGGTGATATTGATCGAAGAGAAAATTTTGAACTGAACATTAGTTTTTCTCTTGTAGGTAAAGAATTATTTGCTGGTTGACGTACCATTAACCTAAAAAAAATTTCAAATTAATCAAGAATAAGAAAACAAAAAACGATTATCTTACCATGGCCTATTCGTAAAAAGATATGCTAATAAATTAATAATTTGTTCATCATCGTTCAATTCATGAAATAATTTCGTATCCATTAAATAACCAAATAAAATATTTGCTGGTTCAAAATTATGTAAATTTGTTAGAAATCCAGCTAGACCAATTAAATCACCTTGACCATTAATTAAATTTAATCGATAGAGAAAATCTAATGTATGTAAACAATGATATCGAGTTTGAATATCGATTAAACGATGTGTCATTGATGTTTGTGCATTAAATGGACATTGAAGAGAAATAAGTGATCGATTGATAGCATCTTTTTTATCTTCAGCATTTGAATATAAATAAAGAAGACGCATAAGAAAAGTAACACTTGTTGTAATATGTGTTTGAATATTAGGAATAGCTGCAATAGTTAAATGACGAATTTTTGACATTGGAATATCGATAAAAACAATATTTCCTTGAACATCAAAACCACGACGACCAGCTCGACCTGATGATTGTCGATATTGTAAAGCATCAAGTTGTATTGAATCTTTAACAAAAGCAACTGTTTTTGTTGGCATATGAATACCCAAAGCTAGAAAAAATAAATTATAATTAGTGAAAAATTTCTTTTTCTACATATGCTATACATACCAAGTGTCCATGTTGAAAAAATAATTTGACAATATCGATTACGGAAGAGACCTTCAACAGCTAATCGGCATTTATTATTTAATTGTGAATGATGATAAGCGACACCACGTTTTATATAACGAACTAATCTTGGATTGACTGATGCAGCTCTTTCAATTAATCGATCGACTAATTCTCGATCACATGTACGTCGATTTGCTAATGTACCTTCTTCTAAAATACCATTTAATAGATCTTGTTCATAACCAGATAAACGTAATTGACTTTGATCTTCTTCTGCCATTTGCTGTAATTCAGCTGGTTTATCATTTCCTTTTTCTTCGTCGTCATCTCGTTTATTTGAAGATTTAACAACTTTTTTTGCTTTAGCTGTTTTTTGAGCTTTTTCTATTTGTACTAAACGTTTTTCTAACGCTTCTATTTGATATTTATATTTTGTTCGACGTAATTCATTTTCAAGTTCTTGAAAATATTGTGCTACACTTTCAGCTAATTCTTCACATAATGGACGACTATCCGTAAAAACAATACATGGAAGAAGATTTTTTTCTTTTAATGTTAATACAAATTCACCAATTAATGATGACATTGGTTTTATTTCAGGATAATTAATTTTATTTGACGTTGTAGGATTTAATGATGAAGATATTGCATCAATAACAGAATTTTCATTATTATGAATTAAGTCATTAAATTGATTACAAACAAGACGTGAATATGTATTACACGTACTTCGTTCAACTATCCAACCAGGTGAAAAATATTCAGTTAGTGTTGGAATTTGTTTATTTTTGACATTATTTTTTTCCATTGTTTCGTTCAATCGAAGAGTTTCACATGGTGATAATGATAAATCTTTTGGTAAACCTCGTGATGTTAGCTGTTTAGAATTCATAAGACCAATTGGATGAAGAGGATGTAATTGTCGATTTGAATACAAATATTTATTCAAATCTGCTAAGCGTTCTAAATGTGAAATAAAACATACTTGACGAGGTGTTGATGTTTTAAATAATATTGATCGCTGTTTTTCTACATTTGCAATCCAATGTTGTAAATTTTCACCATTATTAACCGTAGCTGAAAGTCCAATCATTGGACAATTAATAAGTAACATTGTTCGTTCCCAAACATCTGAACCAATATCAGCTGACATGCAATGAATTTCATCAAAAATACAATATCGAAGTCGTTGACACCAAGCTTGATGATTTGGTGATAAGAGAAGCATTTCTAGACATTCTGGGATAGTAACTAAAATTCGACATTTTTCCATATTCATTTCATAGCCTAGTGTAAAGGTTCCAAATACAGGACCAAATTTTGAATGAATTGTACCTTAAAGAAAAAGCTGTTAGCAAAAAATCCTTGCGAAATAAAAATGTGAAACACGATGTAGCTACTATTTCTAATCACCGAGAGATTTCTTTTCTATGTATTTTGGCACATATTTCTCTTTTTACTTAATTTTCTAGAAATTTAATAAGGAAGTAGTTCATTTATTATGACAAGACATGATTGATATACTCTTTGTAATCATATATCAACAATGTCTATCATGATCTTTGCTGAGCCGTTGCTAATATGTATATCACGTTTGTGAGGAGGCGGGTTCAAATTTCTACCTCTATATTTCACCACTCATTTTATATCGTGTTTCAAAAAATATGAAATTTATTCATATTTTAAATTGAATCATGTTATTTTACCTGCTACTTGATTGATCAATGCTTTTGTTGGTGCTACATATACACATATACCATTCTGATCATCTTTATCTTTAAGTACTTTACCCATAGCATAATATGATGCATAAGTTTTACCTAACGATTGAAAATTAGAATATGAATGAGAGAAATAAAAAACGAGAATTGAAAAACTAACCTGAAGCAGTTGATGCAACAATAATGATTGATTGTTGTTTATCAACAGCATCAAGAAATTGTACTTGCCATGGATCTGGAATAAAATCTGGTATTCGTTCATCACGTATGCCTTGTTCACGTCTTGGTAATCGACTATTAATTTTTTCCAGTTGAAATCGATACCATTTTTCTGCATCTAATGGTGAATCATCAATAAGTTCTTCCATAAATTTTTGCTTTTCATTAAATGCATCAACAAGATTTTCAAGATGTGTTATTTCACATAATGTAGCAAACAATCCTATTTGAAGAAGTTCTAATTGTGATTTTTCTTCTATAGTTAAATCCTTCTTCTTTTTTAATGTTCGTAAATATTTTCGTTGTAAATCTAATTTTTTTTTGAGTAATTCAAGACGTACAATTGATGTTTCAAAATTCGGTAAACTTTCATCAATAAGATCAATAGCATCTGAATAATTATCAGCTAAAATTTGTTTTAATCGAGCTTCAACATGAATGATTTTTTCAGTTTCATCATTAATACGTTTATCTAATATTCGTTGTTTATTTTTTTCAATAATCATTTCAGCTTTTGTTTGTGAATTTTTTTTTGGTTGACTTTTATGTTGTTGTTTCTTTTTATTACCAGATGTAGCAACAGAATCTGTTTGATGAATAAAATTCTCTTTATTTGGTAGATCAGGAGTTGACGCAGTTGGAAGAACAATTTGTGATTGACTATCTCTAACATCACGAGTAGTTAATGATTTACCATATAAAGTAAAATAATCATATCTGTGAAAAGAAAAATAACATTCGTTTACAATTCATAGTTTCATAATTTTAAGATTAATGCTTACAATTTCTGTTGATTTCTTGTTCGATAACGATAATCTTGTTTATTGTTTTGTTTAATATTTTTCTCACATATACGATTGATTTCATCACCTACCTAAAATTAAAAAAGAAAGAATTAATAACTATAAAGTACTTATTATCAAAAGCAACTTACTTCTTTGTATGTTCGCCAATAATGTTTACCTATAGATAATAAAAAAGATTGTCGTAAATCCACGAATAAAGACAAAATAGAAGCTCACCTTTGTACTGAATCACTTGATTATCATTTGGATTAATTAAATCAAATGTCAATGTATCATTTGAAGAAAAAATTGGTTTAAGATATGCATCAACAAAAGGATTTGATATTCGAATAATTTTCTGTCGATTTTGTTGTTCAATTGTTGTGAGTTGTTTTTCTGATAGTGAAGATGAGAAAATAATATCATTTGATTGAATTAATTCTTTCACAATATCTTGAAATATATTTTCATTTGATGGTATATTCAATGCGTCGAGACTTTGTTTAACAATTGTATATGTCTTTGAATCAAGAGAAATCTTTGATGATTGATAAATTTGATGAACAGTAAAATTAAAAAGACGTCCATCAAATAGATCAGCAATTTTTGAATAAGACAAAGATGAGAAATTTAATGAAAGATTTGAGGAAAGACGTTGTTGAAATTGTTCCATATATTGAGAAAATGTCGAACTGTATGTAATTGAAGGAATTGATGATGGAAGATGTCGATCAATTAATGATAGACGAATAAGAAGTGCTACATGAAGAATAAGTAATGGACTAAAAAGTTGTAGAAAACGTTCATGGATTTTTTCTTCGATCAAATCAACGATTGTTTTAAGATAAAGAAAAAGTCGAATATCATTTTCACCAATATCTTGACATAACTTTTCAAATTTATTCCAATCTCGTTCTTGAATATCATTCATTATATGTAAATTCGATGATACTGTTTTAACTTGTTCATTAAGTAATTTTTTTGGATACATTCTATCAAATTGAATTTGAAAACATTTAACTGTTGTTTCAGTTAATGTTAATTTATTCATTAGATAAAGTTGACATTGTATTACATATTGATGATAATTACCGAATAAACGATATATAAAAAATAATTTTTCTAATATATCTTTTGATAAAAGTTTATCATTTTCTTCATTAAATGTTGACATATCATGATAAAATAAAAACATTGGTTTTTCTTCTTGAACAAATTTTAAATATTCATCATTAAGCCAAGATGAAAATTGTTGTATTTTTATTGTTCTATATTGATCTGTATTTTTTGAAAGATGACTAATTAAACATGAACGAAGAAGACTAAGAATTGAATTTTCTTGTTGATACAAATGATAATGACAATCAAAAAAGACAAGTGTAAAATTGCATTGATTTGATTGACAAAAGAGTGTAAAAAGAATACGTTCAATAATAAAAATCATGTGAAGAGTATTTCCATAATTTAAATTAAGATTAATATTTATATGATGGACTATAGACAAAACTAATGAATCACCATCAATTAAATAATGTGTACTATCACGAAATTCTCCACGTGCATCAAGAAAACGAGCTGCACATGGATAAAGAATATCGATATGATTTGCTAAGAAATTTGATGTATATGTTTCCATTTTATTTGTTGATAAAAGTGTTTGAATTATAGTTAACATAGGTTGATGTAATGAAGATATAGTAGATGATGATGTATTCAATGAAAGATCTTTTATGAGACGTTGAGATTCATTATCGTTATTTATACCTTCAAATACATGTGAAGCAATTTGTTTTAAAACAACAGTAACAATTTTATCATTATCACTCTTGAGACATTGTTCAATAGCAAAAAAATAAAGTTCGTTAAAATGATTATAATTTTGTTGACAATGGTATAAAATCCGAAGAAGTCGTTGACATTGATGAACTATGTCAACATAAATATCTGTTGTTTTACTTGAATGATGAGTCTAACAAAACAAAAAATAAAAAGACTTTTAATTTTTATATTAAATATATATTTACATGTTTATGTTGAATTAACTTTTTATTGTTATTGTCTTCATCTTCATCTTCATCTTCTTCTTCTTCTCCTTCTTCTTCTTCTTCTTCTTCTTCTGATGATGATGATATTGTTGAAACTTCTTCTGAAGTTTCACTTTCTGCTTTTTGACTACTATCTATAGTTTTTAATGTAGATGTAATACCATTCCGATGCACTTGTTGTAATTTACGTAAAACCATGTGTTCCCAATCCTTAAGATATTGTAATTGAAATAATTCATTTTTTTTATGAATATTTTCAATAAACGCTATCTCGGATGTTGTTTCCGTATCCAGTAAATAATTTATAAAAGTTTCGATTTGGTTGTTCATTTTTGATAGACAAAAGAAAGAGCATAAGTCGATTAGTATTTATACTATTCTTGTAGAAAAAACCCGGTAGAGAAAAAAACACTCGTCGACAAGGTTTTGTTCTTTTTTCTCTAAAAGGATAAAAAAGCAAAGAAATTCATAGAAAGAAAAAAAGCGTCATGAAAAGATGTCCAAGTCACATGATATATTGCGATTGAGTAATTACATAGGTTAGAAAATGTTTTTTTCAATATGAAAATTATTGATGATATGATGTAATGTAAAAATGGCGAAATTTTCCAAAGTTCTTACAAAATTTCTTTCATAAGCAATGAGTCATTTATTACAGATTGATAAAATGAAGAATAACTGCTTTTATCTTGTAATCTAGTAATAAAACACTCATGTAGATCGTAATAGAACAAAATGTCATTTTGATAACAATACTAAAGTTGCATTGTTTTGATGAGATTCTTTTCTCTTTAAGTATTTTCAAATTCAAGTACTTTTACAATTCTGTTTTTTTATTTTGAAAATTATATTTGTAGTATTATAAATGAAGGATCGAGATTTGTTCTGTATTGCGTAGTTTTTTAGTCCAGAGAGTTCACTTTGCTTCTTTTTTTTTTTTTTTACAGCTGATGTGTAGTATGTAATTGAACGATAAAATTTCAAGAAATACAAATTGAAATTTTGATCATATCAAATCTTGAATATATTTTTTTTATCTATAATGTGACTGACAAAAATGAGGAAAAAATATCAAATTTTTAATATCAGATTTGATGTGTAGTATTAGATTGGATTTCAATCTTTGACTCCTATCTTATTACAGTATGAACTACCGTTTAAATGATGATTAGGAGTAAATTGTCTATAAAAATCATAGAATAAAAACATAATGGTACAAATCGAAAATTGGTACTAACTTTTGAATTCTGCGAGTTAAATTTATTTTAAATTTCAATGCTTTAAAATTTTACAACGTTTGTAAAAGCTTTTAAAATTTTTACGAGTCTATTTATGTGTATTGGTCATTGTCTAAATTGAATAGTAAAGTAACTATGAAAAAAGCTATTCAAAGTCTCTTTTAAATGGATAAGAAATTCACTAATCAGAATTACAATATATTATATTAAAGAGACGATGATGGCCATTAGGCAAGTATAAACCAACAGAATAATTCAGATCGAAAGCGAAGAGAACGATTAAATCTTTCTCAATGGAAAAGAGCCATTTTTTCCGCTATTCGATCAAAGAGCGTTTTTTCACATGTTAAACTAAATTTTATATTCGATTTTTATATCGAAATAAAAGAAAATGAGTTGATAGTAATGTTTTCTTCTGAAGAAATCTTATAAAGTTTGTAAATGTTTTTGGATTAAAATAGCTCAAGTACTTCAAATTACTTCTCTTAGGGTAATATAGATCATCGATATGAAAAGTTTCTCAGT